AAAAAATGGTTGCTCTGGTTGTCAGAAGAGGCATCGGCCCCGTGACTTCCGAGGGAACTCGGCTTTCATCACAAGACGTCATAATTCTTGTTCCAACTCCCGGGGCAGAGTTAAAATGGTTTGAATTATTTTTTCTGGTTAGCGTTTTTTTGGCAAGTGAGATTTCAAAAATTAATTTGCATATTATGTTGTTAATGTACGACATCAAATACAGCAAGATCAAAAAATTATAACTTCAGTGAACATACCCAATTTCGCGCAAACAGTAAACATAAGTTCCGCAACGGTCTTGCTATCATCTACCTGCAGCGTTTTTCTTGTTTCATCCATTGTTTGTATCACAAGAAGACGAAGCTTGGAACGATATTGAACCTCAAACTAAGACAAATCAAACTTTGGTAACATAAACTTGCATTATCACAAAAATGGTAATAAGAGAGCATTCTTGAATTGTCTAACCAAAAAGAATGCTTAGGGTCAGGGTCTGGTACAAAGATTCCATATTCTGATGCTAAAGAAAGAATTTTAGGTTGATTGCTAATAAACGTACGATTTAGGCAAGCAGCTTCTCTAATTTTTGAATGGACTTCATGACATAAATCGTACACAGTGATATCTTTAGTAAACTTGAGTGAATAACAGTTTCCTGATGTCGGAAACCTGATAAGCAGGTTGTAAGCTAACATTGTGTAAGAACTGATTGCAACAGTAGTATCAGGATAAGATACACATCATCTCACAAACACTCAAATTGCCCCGCTTAGCAACCTTGAGGATTTAAGGTCTTTAGCAAATAGAATGATGCGAACGAAATCTTACGTAAACAATTTTTAGATCTAATGAACAATTTTGTCACGAGCTTGTAATAATTAGTTGATTGTTTTCGCGCATGATTCTTATCTTGCGATACAACTCCAGGTACTTAGTAATATCAAATAGATGTAATTTAGCCATTCGACTGCATCAAATCTAGTCATTTCTTTTTGAATTTACGTTATTGAGTGAGTGCATCTGTCTCGAACAGTAGGGTTTCTGTAGACCAGTAAAAATCACTTTAGAAGGTTGAAGATAAGCTAATGGCAAGGTAGAGAATAATGAAGAGAAAATGCTACAGATAAAAAAAGATTTCATAACTAAGAAAATATATCAATACGTTGTTTAATTTATAGTGAAGATAATGTGAGAGGGCAGAAGTGTAAACGAAGGAGAGGAAATAACGGTAATAAGCTTGAAATACGAAGTTATTAATATGAGGAAGTGATAATGAAAATAACGAACTTATTTCAAGATATAAATCAGATACAGCTGGTAAGGGCGGAAGATCCTCATTTTTGAGTGAGTACTCATTTGTTAAGCTTCTTCCTGAAACTATCCGTTGAGTGGGCTACTGTCACTTCCGGTGCAAGAGAATTCTAAATAGGGACAACATTCAGTGAGAATAAATACGCACATACCTGGGTGTTTACATTTCGGATTGCAATTATTTGAGAATAGCAGTGATGAGATGACAAAAAGCTTGTGTCGGGTTAATTTGGCGTGAAGAATATGTCTCCTGACATTATCAGATAACCGTTTATCCCAAGTATCGGATTCTGTCTTCATAGAGATTTTTTCTTAACTGTGTCACTCATTTAGTTATTGTTATCTGTATGAGGGCCAGGAGATCGATGTCTCCCTATAGAAAAGGGAGTAAGCAATCTCTTTAACATTAAGGAGTCGTTGTATATACATACATACATACATACATACATACATACATACATACATACATACATACATACAGTAAGGAAAAGTTGTAGAGTGAATGCAGCAAGATATCCTCACAAAAAATAAAGATTTACGCTTAGCTTTGCTGCATCTCCTATGTACTTTGAAGTTTTGTCCACACTCCAGACTCAGGAGACATCACGAGGTGGAATTAGATTTAATATGTAAATTGTTTGTTCGCGTGGAACGGAATTATTCATTACGTGACATTTGAATTGATTAAATTGCCCATTCCTCTATAGGTGTAACGTCCATTTGAATTTTCAATACACCTCTCCCCATTGTTACTTCAGATCTTTCTACAATGTATATAGACTCATACCACCGAGTTAACGTTGTCTAAGAAATCATTATTAAATTTCAGAAAGAGGGATAGACCCAAAATCATTTTATTTGAGTTCCTGTTGTTGACAGTCGCCAGCTCGCGTGCACTCTATTCATGTGGGTACTAATATTCCTGTTCTCAAGGAACGTTCTGAACCAAATTAACAGCGAATCAGTGAAGTTTGTCTTCGAAACCATCGCACTTCGGAGTACGTGGGGTATTGTATCGGAAGCTTATGCCAAGTCAAGGTATATTACATAGACCAATATATTTTTGTCAAAACAGATTCTCTAACTGTCTCGTGCTATGAAAACACTGGATTTTCACTATTTGACTTTCCTAAAGCAATGTTGGGCTTCATGAACGATGATGTTCTTGTAAATGCCCTCTGTTCTGTAAATGCCCTCACCAGTCCTTCCACTACTTTTGAAGCTGTCGGTGGTAATCAGACTGCTCTGTAGCAATCTATATCATTCCTATCTCCTCCTATGAAAATTGGAAGCAGTAGCATGTTTCCATTAGGCTAGCAGCTGATGTGACTCCAGCGAATAAATAGGTCACGTGCTGCTTCGGTCACGAACTGCTGCCCCCCACACACCGTTTAAGGATTACAAGACAGATATTGTCAAGTCCTAATGACTTTCATGAGCTCAGGGATTTAAGTATTCTAAATGCTAAGCAGTAAGTAGGCCGGATATTCCCCAGGCCATTGACAAGCACTGGATTTGAGGTGCACTCCGAGTTGGTGAGCGACGATAGCATTAAAGATCTCAGCCCGCCGTCAGTAAGATTTCCACCGTTTAAACCTTTAGGATAACATACACTTTGTTTCGTAGTTTTTTAGTCCCTAAAAAGAAAGATCAGATTAGTCTGTAATTTGGCCTTAACTTGTAGAGCGCTGTTCGCTTCGAAATTTGCCAGAGAATATCTTTTCATATGGGTAGTCCACCTGAGGTACAATATGTAGGACAGCGTTCCAAGTGATGTCCGTCACTGCTTGCCAGAGATCATCTGGTCTATGCCTCCACTCCACTCGTGTCTAACGATGCTTTTCCACTGTCTTATAGTTTGCTCCAGTCTGGCAGATGTAGGACGCATTTTCGTCCCTCCTGAGTGTTTTCTCTTTGAGCATCGTAAACATAACTGTGACATAGTCACTACTTCCTACTGATTTGTGGAGATGAACATCTTAACTATTAGTTATCAAATGATCCGAATTCCAATGTTTTTCATCACACTGTTTCCTGTAGCGTTTTCCGTATCATTTGTTTTGAAGGGACAGTAGCATGATTTTATTATAACGGTTAGTATGGTTCTGCGTAATGGGACGGCTTTGAAATGTAGCCACTCTTCTTCCTGTTTAATGAAAACTATGGAATCGCGAGGGTCATACCTTCCAAGCTTATTTTATTTTTCAGCAGTGTCAAGGAATAGCCATGTTTCAGATAGGGTTGTAATGTTCAGATCTATTTGATGGCATATGCTTCTGATTTCTACCAGCTTAACTCTCAGACCTCTTACGTTGCTATAGAAATGCTTGATAGTTTGGCTCATCCGCTGCAACAACCGTCCCCGATTTACTTAACAAATTGTTCGGGTTTTGCCCACTTCTCTAAGAACAGCTGCTGCAGCTTTTTGTTTGTATTTTGAATTCACTCAGTTAGACCTAGATTTTGCTCTTCACATCGTCGGTTGTTAATCGAGGTACACCGAAATTAGCGTGCTCTCTTTTTGTCCTCCCTGTTGTTGTCTCACTAATTAAGGTCAGCTCTCACAACACCCGATATGACTACAGAATATTATTTGTACTGTACCAAGTCTGAAGCTCCCCAAGTATTTCTTTCCGATTTCTAAATTTCATAGTCATGAGACGCGGAGACCTAATAGGAGTGAGACGCGACCGATCAGGAGACCAGGAAGAGCCAATAGCCCTGATCATTCGAAAGTCTATACAACGTGATAGGCACTGCCACTGTTACATATCAAGTGCATGAGTTTCATCCAACCTACTACAAACCAGCTAATGCCTTCAGTGAACCATCATAATGATCGGTTATTGAGTGTCTGTTGGTGACCTAGTAACTGCTCATTTTCACCTGGCTCGTACCAGAGCAGAAAATTTAACCAAAGGTCTCTGCGATGTCAGGAGGAATAATTTAAGACCCTGTGCTGAGTCTAAATTTGTGGTAAGTAGAGAGAATCTCCCATTAGCTCGATTATGAACCTTAAACAGAGGGCGTAGTTTGGCCTCTTATGCAGTACAAAATAATTCAAAAAGCAGTTCATCAGATGTACAACATACAAAAATAGAAAAGCAAGATTTTTCGATGCAACACACCATGCGCCAACCAGATATCTCTGGATGGAGATGCCATGGAGGATGTAAAAAGCTTTAAATATCTGGGCAGTGCTATTGACGATTAAGGTGGATTTGATGCAGATGTGGGGGCGCCGATCGGTTATGCAAGGTCTGCTTCCCTACAACTGAAGAACATGTGAAGCAAAAAACAACTATCAACCAACACCAAAATCACAATTTTCAATACAAATGTCAAAATAGTTCTAATGTATGGGACGGAAACTGGGAAAGAATGTATTCATTAACCACTATCTATACAAAATTCTTCGGATCCGTTGACCAGGCACCATGAGTAACAACTTACTTTAAGAAAGAACGAATCAAATTCTAGCAGAAAAAGAAATCAGGAACAAGCGGCCTGGAAGTGGATGGGACACACATTCAGGAGAGCACTCAACAGAGCCACAAATCAAGCCCTCACTTGGAATCCTCAAGACCCAAAGAAGACCACAGAACAGAGAAATGGAGACAAACATGAAAATAATGAACAATAAATGGATATTACATGAAGAGAAGGACCATGACAGAGTGGTTAAAAAAGACTGGGCGGCAGCCTATGCCTCATTGGGGGGTAAGAGGTGTAAATAAGTAGGTTAGTAAGTAACACAAAATTATAATTCATCCAGTTGGACATCTTACATGAATACAATAGGATAATGATAAAGCGTTCAATCAGAACAACGTACAAGCTTCCAAGACAAATTCAATTGCTGACTGAATATTTGTTTGAGCAATTTTAAATGAATTAAATCGATATACTGAACACTTGATGCTGAACAGCCATTGATCTTAACAATGCTACGGATCGTCAGGACCAGACAATGCTGTTGTGTCTAACACTTTTAGTTTCAGATATACCAAAATCAGTGAAACATGAAGTCAAGGAATTCAAAATACCTATGGCAGGTATTCGAGGCTCCTGGATCTATATAATCTAAACGATTGAGTTGCTTTAGGGTATGAGTATGAAGGTTTGCTTGATGGCGATATGATTTGGATTCTTAACCGGGAGCCTCAAGATATGGTATGTTGAGCTGGATAACCAGGGTCAGAATCAGTGTCAAAAGCTTACAGATATATTCATTTTGTGGATTATTTTAGCATTGCAACCAATTTAATTATTGCACAAAGTGCTATTTCGAAAAATTTGAAATAAATATATTATCCGATCAGTGGTAAATATATAGTTCGAAGTCAATCCTTGAGAATATTTTTCACTGCATTCCAAATTTAATTCAATGCAAACAAAATTTGTTTGAATCACTCAAACCAAAGAAACAATGCCTCTCTGTTTTTATGAAAATGAGTACTGCAATAACAATGAAACGTTGTGGCATAAGTACTAACCCGCAGTCATTAGTTCTAATATATGGAAGAGGTCTTAAGACAAGAAGAAGGAGGATACGGATTTCTGGGCTTGAAAATTCATCGGTTATTGAGACATTCAAGGAACTTCAAGCAGATGAGAGTCATAAACAATTCATTAGTCTTGTTCCTAAGACACAGCTTTTAAGATTACTGAGGATTCTAAAAGATTTATGCAGTGGAATGAATCTCACGGATTCATTGGATAGAAGGAACGAAATGAACTTTTTTCAGAATGATGAAGACCTTAACTCTGTTGATTATAATGTCATGGAACGGTTTGTTCAAAATATTTTCCATAATTTTAAGAATACTTCCTCGGTTTTCTTAAAAAAAACTTACAAATTTTAGTCCAAAAAAGTTACGATAGGCACACTTCACATTAGTTAATTCTATAACACTAATGTAAGAGGTTGGTAAAATTGCGATTTCTTTGTCTCTGCAAATCAGTAACTATTAGGCAACTTTTCACTGTTTTCATAGGTTTGTGTAACACAGATAATGAGTAGCTGTTCCAATAAACCTCTAAGAAACTTTCTTATGTTTATGTTTTTTCAAGTGAACTAGGTAATTGCCTCATAAATACTATTTTCTTACGTGATGAAATAGTCTGTATCAAATCACAAAGTTATGCAAAGACGTGAACTAAGTAATAGCTGACATGACAAAAAAGATGTTTGAGAACTGGTGGATGGTCTAGAATAGAATTACTTATCTCTTACGAATAGCCCATAACCTTCCTTCTTTTCTCACTGACCCAATTAGCGCAAATTCGCCAACAAGCGAGTAGTCATCTGTAAACAAGACCTTCAAATCTAATAAATCCGCACACAGATGTTGTATATATTTTGCTGAGCACCAAATAATTAATTAACGCATATTAATTTATACAAAAAAGAACTTCTAGGAACAATAAACTAAGGGTTTAAATGAAACAAATATTAAAGTATATTCCTGGTGTTAGTAAGAAATGTTAAAATAGTATTCATCTTGTATCAGACATATTTTTGGTTGTTTTAGTGGCTTTTACGGACAAGTGACTGTCAAGTGAACATGAAATATTTTCGGCATAAGTTTAATATGAAAAACGTTAGAAACTATGACGAGATGAAATGAACTCCACTCAGTCATTGTAAAAGTCCCACTAATCTGGAGATATTGCCTAGCTTGGAAGATCAACGTAGTAACACTATTTTGTAAGTTCTTTGTGACTGTCAGCTCTTCCTGGCCTAACCGTCCATACTGTCAGCCTTATAAATCGAAAATGATGAAAACGTTGTCATCAAAAGTGGTAAATCTGAAGCCTTTGTTGAACTTCACTAGGATTTGTTACACTATATACCAAATATAGCACTGCAATTTGGTAAAGTATCATCTTCACCGGTCTCGATCTCTTCATGTCTCGATGTAAAATAAACTTATTAGCAACAGACATTTCACCGAAAACATTATAGCTATCATTGTATGAAAAGAAAGTCGTACAAAATCATTCATTATTAAGCTGTTAAAATACTTCGTTTCAGGCAATCTATAAATTTGTCATTTGACTCGCTATTTCCAAAAGAAAGTTTTGAGTGACAAGTATAGCTATCAGCAAACAGAACACTGACTTTACCTACCCACATCTAATCTATCTTTCAAAACAAAGACATTATTTATTTAAAATATATCTCATCACTACTAAATGTTTCATCTAGTGTTGTCAGTTATACTGTGAGTCTAAGATAAAACTTCCACTTGTATAACCTAATGCAGTCTCTTTTAAAACCAATGAGGTTAATACTGGTATATTAATTTAAATATGTTTTTGCAACACTTCTTATTTGAAGGCAGTATTTATCATACTGAAACCTTGAACATCAGTTGGATATGAGCGAATCTATGTCCCTATTAAAAGCATTCTAAGATTATTACATATCTAGATAAAACTTTCAAATTTATTAGTTTTTAATCCAGGATTTATTAATTTTTTAAGACTATTTAAACTTATCGCCTTATTTTTGACTCTTTGACAAACGGTACAGCAATGAAAAAAATATTACGTATATAGTTTCAGATGAGCCTTAACACTTTATTTGATATATATTATTAAATCCCTAGTTAGTTTGACAAAGCGCTATCTATCAATTTACATTATATGTGTTGGTCACAAGCGAATTCGTCACATTTTAAGTTTAGATTCAAGTTAACAAATAATTTGTCACTATCAACTGAAAGGAATAATATTTTTTCCTTGTTTTAATGAAACGTAAATTTTCAGATTTTGCAACATTTATCCCTATTTTTTTCCAGTAGAAAAGATGCTGTTATGAATAAGTTATTCGAACAAAATGAAATGCTCTCTACAGAACAAGACTTATTCTGTGATAAAGAAGCTGACCTTCCTGATGAACCAGTTGAAACTTATTCATGGGATTCTGATGAGTGTGAATTTTGAAAGCTGTGTAGTAGACTGATGTGCACAAATCTGAAAGAATTGATTGAAAATAATTGTATATAGTTTTGTTGATTATAAACTGAATAGGGTGATTTTTTTTCATTCCAATGCTTAAATCTAGTATTGTACTCATGAACAAGCTTTGGACAGACGAAAGTTTCAGTAATCTTGTAAAAGGAATCAAGACGGAAGAGAAGATAAAGCATTCGCACATGTTATCAAATGCTTTGACAAATTACAAATTATGCATTTGAATCTACTATCACTGTTGTTTTATACGATATAAAATGCTTTTTTTTACTACTATTTTAATAATTATTATTGTTGATAACATTTTTAATGTAGAATCATGTTTTTTAATTGGTTTTCTATCTTAATTATTAACTTTGTACAGATTAGTTTTTACTGAAAAGTACTTTTACGTAGATTTTTGATATCTCAGTTCAGTTTTCAATTTTGTAAACAATTTTTATATGCAAAGAATTCAACGTTTTTCTCTTTTTTTTTACAACAACAACGAGTAGCTTGCCAATGTTTTCTTTTAGAGCCGAAAAAAAAATCACATTTTTGAGACTGTTCATTAACTGAAAAAGTTTTAAAATCTTTGTCGTTTAATTAAGTCCTATATATGAACATTCGTGTTGTGCTTTCACTTTGAGAGCAATGTACTTTTTGGGTAGTCTAAAAACATAATTTACTTATTTCTTCAGGGAAATATACAACCTTTATCATGTAAAATTACTATCCTCCTCGTTTTTTTTATTATCCTATGGCAATAATGTACCGTAAAGGTCTCCAACTTATACTATCAGAATTTGTTATCCAATTATCTGTTTCAAAGACCCCTATAGCAGATGCACACTATTATCTATATGTTGTTAACAAATATTTAGGCTGTTTGTAGGAGACAATTGCACGTCTTAGTTTGGTCATTTTGAAACTTTTTTATGTTTATGTGGTGACCTATAATAATTAAGGTCTTGTGGAATTCCCTAGTGAATTTACAAAAGTGATCTAACTGGATGAAGGCGGTCTTATCAATTTAAAAATATACTTATTATCGAATATATGCCGGTATATTCTGTTGTATCCCTAACTGTTGACCGATAACTATCACGTAACAAATACAAAACACTGATAAAAATTAAGCCTTAGTACTAGAAACCTTCAATCGACTCTAAATCGTTATCGGTTCACAAAAATTCCGCAGCCAGCCTCCATAAAATTAGTTATATCTTAAGCAAACTTAATTTATACTCCAAATATACCAGACCACATCACATCATAGAATGGAAAAATGCATTTACACATGAGCAAGACAAAATTGGCTGTGAATAGAGGAAGCTGTATATAATAAACAAGCGAAAGGTTAGCAGTAATAAATCACACAATAGAGTTAAGCAAAGGTGTACGACAAAATAAATATCAATATGTAATAATCTAGTTACCTAATTATTAGACAATGACAATATATATGATGGTAATTCATAAGTTAGTCCGACGAGTTACTGTTTTTTGAATTTTCTTCCGAATATAACATTAACCCTACATGGAAACAATTGACATCATGCTGCTCAACTACTTTTACGCAAAGTAGAAGAGCTGTCCATATTCATAACTGTCTCATATGATTTCGATTCAAGTAATTGCTACATTCATTCACTCTACTCAATATATAGGCAGTAAATCTAGCAACAAATCTCATCGGATAAGTTTTCATTTATTATTATGATCGAAACTTATTTTAAACATTTAAGTCCTAGATGTTCGAGTAATTTCATGTACAATCATCCTCATCTTCCCTTCATTCTTTCTGTTACATATCCTATTTGTGCAGCAAAACGTTTGATACTTTAACAATCCACCTATCAGTTTATGAGTCAAGTTTCATTTAGAATACGCTAGGTAAGATGATCATCTTCTGAACATATTGCATGAATAGAATTTTCAGGCATGTAAAATGAATTAGAAACTATAATTCCAACTATAGTTAAAACCAACTTTTGCAAATGAATAATCATAGATTATCCGTATTGTGAATCTGAATGCCATCTTTTCTTTAAACTCTGAGTTTCTTTAATCAGACCTAGTACTTGAACTTAATGTAAAGAAAAAACACACCACGGACTACATAAGAGATGTGACATCTTTATTAACATTACTATTCAGAGTATACATTTAAAAGGTTACATTTGCATAAACAAGTCTATATGTATAAAAATTAGATTATTTTTCAATATTGATCGTATATTATTAATTAAAGAATGTGAATAAGTGGTTAGTTGGAGAAAAAACTAATCGGTGGCCTATGCTCCATTGGGGGTTTATAGGTGTAAGTAAGCAAGTGAATAAGTGATTAATTTGAATGATTAGACAATAAAGAACTACGCATCTTCATATCGCCAAGTAGAATAACTTAGATGCT